GAATCCAATGCCTCATTTTACACGTGAGAAGACTGGGGCTCAAAGATCATAATACCCACAGGAGTTGTCCTCTGCATTGTATTCAGGAATAGTGTCCCAGGGCAGCACCCCGGCTTGGCTAACCACAGAGCATCCTGGTTAGACCCCTGGAGGCGGGTGGGTCTGGGCTGTGGGGTGCTGTGTTGCTTCCCACCTCTAGGTCTTCAGCCTGCTACCTCACCCTATTCTTCCATTGTAAGAGGGGTTAGCTGTAACTGTCTCCTTCCAGGAGAGGCAGTATTGCATAATGTGTGGGAGCTTGGGCCTAAATGAGGCAAAAGTGCATGCCCTCAGAAACCCTCCCTGGCTCTGGGAGAGACACACGTCCGTGTGGGAGAGACACAGGGCTTGGGAATGTTCTGATTTCATGTTTTGAATTTTAGTGGCCTTTGGGAGGATATCCTGGACTCTCAGATCTTCATTTATAGCAAGACTCCTTCCTTATGCACCCGCCTTTTCTGAGTTTGCCAGAGTTTTAAAAATGGGCTCTGTGGTCCTTTGTTTTCTTGGGGTGTCATGAGGCAGCATAAAGTGAAACTAGCCGATGATGCCTATTGTGATGAATGGCCGCTTGCGGGGGAAAAGGTCATGTGTCATTTCAGAGAGAAGAGACTGGAGGCTCAGTGTAGCATCCTGGTTAGGACTATGGATTTTTGAAAATTTTTTATTTTTGTGTTAAAAAAAAAGTAACATAAAATTTACCATCTTAACCATTTTTAAATGTGGAGTTCAATAGTGTTAAGTGTGTTCACACTGTTGTGTAATGAGTCTGCTGAACTTTGCAATCTTGCAAACCCCAAATTCTATACCCATTAAACAGTAATTCTCCATCCCCTTTCTCACCCTGCAGCACCTGCCAACAACCATTCTACTTTCTGTCTCTGGGAGTTTGACTCTTTAGTTACCTCATTTAAGTGGACTAGTACAGTATTTGTCCTCCTGTGACTGGCATATTTCACTTAGCATAGTGTCCTCCAGGTTCATCCATGTTATAGCAAATGACAGGATTTCTTTCCTTTTTAAGGCTGAACAATATTCCACCATATATAGTACATTTAGTTTAACCATTCATCTTTTGATAGCTGTTTAGGTTGTTTCTGTCTCCTGGCTGTTGTGAATAATGATGCAGTGAACATGAGTGTGCAAATATCTTTCCAAGACCCTGCTTTCAATTCTTTTGCATATGTACTTAGAAATGGAATTACTGGATCATATGGTGGTTCTGTTTTTGACTTTTTTGAGGAAGTGCCATACTGTTTTCCATAGCAGATGCACCGTTTTACATTCCTGCCAGTGGTGCACCAGGAGTTCCAGTTTCTCCACGTCCTCACCAACACTTGTGTTTTGTGTTTCCCTGAAGTGGAAGTCCTAATGGGTGCTAAGTGATACCTCCTTGTGGTTTTGATTTGCGTTTCTCTAATGATTAGTGATGTTGAGCATCTTTTCATTTGCTTTTTGGCTTTTTGTATATCATGTCTGGAGAAATGTCTATTCAATTCCTTTACCCATTTTAATATCAAGTTGTTTGGTTTTGTTTTTGTTGTTAAATTGAAAAGTATGGGTTTAAAATTAAACTGGACTGTGCTTAAATCCTGGCTCCTTCATTTATGAGCTGTTTAACGGAGGGCAGTTGCCACAGAACCCTCAGCTCAGAGGAACAGCACCCACCTCACAGAGCTAGGGGTGTTGGTGCAGCCGGTGAGGAAGCACCCACGATACGGGAGCAAGTGCTCCAAGAAAGAGCACCGGCAGTCTGTTCTGAGTAGGATTTTGAAGGAAATGAAATAGCTGCCTTTTCAGTCCCCTCCACAAATGGCAGCCACTATGGTTCCACCCTCATTGCCTTCCCTTTTATCATCACTAGGCTTTCAGGACGAGTGAGAGGATGTTCTTGGACAGTCAGAAACTCTGGCACAGGGAGGACACTCACGTTGCCAAAAGGAACCTCTCTGGGCGTTCTGGGCTGGTGGTCTGCACAATGGCTTCAGCTTTCTGACAAAGCGCATATCGTCACCTGAAGTCACAGCCAGAGGAGCCCTGGGCCCTCGAGCAGCAGCTTGGTGCTCGTGCTCCACCCAGCCCAGGTGCACACCTGCGGCGACGGGCCCTGCCTCACCCAGCAGCCCTGTGCTCTGAATTCAGAGGCGGAAAAACCACGGGTCAGGAGTGCTGACAGATGCGGGGGTCTGGTTTCCTTTCAGATTCCCTTGATGGGAGAGACAAAAGACAAGGAATCATTGTAAAGAAATTAGTCATAGATGTTTCACTCTTTAAACTGATCCTGGCAAAAGGTTAGACAGTGCGCAGCTTTCAGGATGTCCCAGGGCTGACAAGTGCAATGAGGTGCGACCTAGCCCACTAAACACACAATCACCAGGCTCCGGAGGGTCGATTTCCCCGTGCTGACCTTCCTTGGAATCTAAGCTGAGTGTGCAGTACTGGTTTTTCTGTGTTGTGCCAGGATGTTTGAAAAAGTGTCCAAAGGAGAGGCAGATGTTAACTCTTGACCAAGATACTTTGTTTATTCAATCAAAACAGTCAATTCCTCCCCTCTTTGTTTTGTCCTGTGCGCATGTGAGAACTCTTCTTACAGACTGAAATGGAAGCTAAGCCAGCTGAAATTTGCCACGTTCAGCTGCAGTCAGTTAGGTCAGTTAGAGAATTGCAAAATGTTGCCTCTTCTAATGAGTTTTTTAGGCAAAGTAAATTGTGAAAATGTTTAAGAAATTTGCTTACCACAAAAACAGTTTTCAAAGAACATTTGGACTTGACATGCTCACTTTGTTACATAATTTATAAACATGTAGATTAAATTTACGTGTTTGAAATCTATTGAGGTTTTACATGAGTGTCAGTGTGCTGACTCTGAAGGGGTGGAAGCTGTCTCAGTGATCATACAGTTGCTTTCCACTTTCTAGTCGAAAACATCAAAGCCCCGAAACTTTGCTAAAGCTGAAACCCAAGTTTCCCAATTGCCAAGCAGTCATGGATACCCAGAAAGATTGCCACTTCCCAAGTTGATTTTTTTCAGGATAGGGGCTCTTAAAAGGAAGGCAGTGAGACTGGGGTTTTCCAGGTGGAAAGGTCACACTTCCACATTTAACCCAATGAGCATTGTGTTGAGTTGGGGGAAAAATTGGATTCACTATTTTAAACTTCTTATTTCATAGTGTGGACTTCCCCATCCCCTCTCCCCAGTAAAACACAAAAATATTTCCTAACTTTTAAGTCATGAGCTTCCTTTCATGGATTTCGACCTTAGATCACCTCCAGATAAGCATTGTGTAATGGGATGGGTGGGGTTAGAGGTTTTAGTCACAGATGCACGAGAGGCGGGGGGAGGGTGGAGAGCAGCCACGGATCTCACTGGGGCTTTTTGCAGTTCCTCCCTCGTCAGTGACCAAGTCAGAGTTCTCACGGGGGACTGTGGTGCAGGCAGAGCCCCAGAGGGTTTCCTTGCCACCTCTGCAGGTCACCTGCACTGCCTTCGGGTCATCCCTCCCTCTCTCCCTCTGACCTTCCTGCTCGGTCGCATGGTTCTCTCTCACATTCCCCAAGGTCCCCTCTGCCAAGGCCTCTTTAAAAGACCTCTGCTTCTGGGTTCCAGCTGTTCCCACCGAACGTCTTGCCAGCTCTCTTCTGGGGGCTATGGGACTGTGGTGTGACCCTCTTATTTTTGATTATTTCTAGTTGAGTAGCTTCCAATGCTTCCCTCTGAAGATGAGTCTAAGTGTGCCCGCCCCGCCGGCCGCTTCATGGGGAACGGGGCCACATGCTGCTGTCTCGCTCCGTCTCGGCCATGCCTCAGTGGCTTCGGACCCTGCACCCCCGGTGATGTCTCAAAAGGGTTATGGACTGAGAGACCCGATGCGGTGCTGACGAAGCCCAGGGTAGAGGATGGAGGGCACGTTTACATGTTCAGGAAAGATCAAACAGAGGCCATTAATAGCACTTACCTGTGGGAGGTGGGGTTACAGGTAATTTTTTTCCTTTCGGTTTTTCTTCCCCTGTGTTTTCATTGTCTCTAGTGTCTCTGTAATCTGTTGAAATATTACTTTTTTCATGGGGAAAAAAGCCTAAAACCCTCGCCTGAGCCAGAGGGTGAAAAACAGGGCTTCTCTTCTGAAAGTCACTATTTGTGGTGTGATTTTATCATTGTCCTGGTCACTCGGGCTGGACACCTGGAGGAGGCCTGCCTCCTCCCTCCAAGTTCTCTCTCCTCCCACAGCCCCTCTGCCATCCCTGCCTCCCCCTCCTCCACGGTCACCCCCCAGGCCTCCACTGCCGCCGCCCGGCTGTTCCTTCCGCCTCCCTCGACGGTTCTTTCCGTGCCCCCGTCTTTATCATCGCATCGTCGAGGGACACTGCTGCTGTTTTCAGTGGAAGTCCAGAGTTTACAAATAAGATCCAGTCCCTGCCAATGACAGGGTGAGGGAGGTTTATCATGTGCTATTTAATCCACATGCAGATTCTGATGACACTGCGGTACGCTGGTTTGAAAGTGGATTTAGTGCTAGATACAGGAGCATGCAGTGTGGTCAGGGAGGGAATAACAAACAGCAAGGGAAGTAAGGGGATGGGCTGCTGAAAGGGATGCTGCCCAGTTCAGGGCTTGGACTGGAGAGCCGTGGTGGCAGCCGGGAGGGCCCTTCGGACCCCGGGGTCTCTGTTACTGTCTTGCACTGCTGTTTTGTGGCATAAACCTTAATGATTTGGGGGCTACAACTTTATCAGGATAAAATGATGCTTTTCCACCCCACGCTTCATAAGTATTACTTGAGTACTAATTAAATACACGAAACCTACCCATCTATATTATAAATGTCTGTGTGATGGAAACGATGTCTTGACTCTTGATTCTTTCACAAGCACCTTAATGCTGTCTCATCTTGAGCATATTTTCTCCGATTTTATATTGAAAATCTGTGTTTGCCTCATGTCTTAAGGCTACGGGGGTTGTCTTTTTTTTTTCTCCATCATCTTACAAGTGTTCAAGTGGTTTTATTAGGAAGTTGGGCTCGTAGAGGAGGCACTGGCATTGATTGCACTCCGCGGTACCCTGGGGGCTTGGAAGCATGTGCTTGCTAAGTGTGTGCCCGGGGAATGCCCTGCATTGTGTTGGTTGGAAGAACCATTCCACACCTGCTTCTGCAGGGGGCAGGTCATGTTGTCCTGCACTGACAAGGAAGCAGGCGGGCTGAGGAAGCGGGATAAAGGGGAGACGAGGTGACAGTCCACTTCTGAGTCCCAGCCCAGGACCCGGCTTATGAAAGACGCCACATGGCAGCCCTGGCCAGTCGCCATGTAAATGACAGAGATGGCAGGTTCAGGCAAGTCCCTTGTTCTGGCCTCTGGGTATCTCCTCCCTCTGAAAAACAAAAATCTGAATTTTGCCAGTCCATCAGGACTGAAAACACCAGTTTATTCCGTGAGGTCACAATAAAACCTTGTTACCTGTGCTTTCAAAACTTCTCCTTTTTTCTTAACTTAATGACTTCTTTTTTAAGGAAATTTTACAACGGCCTCATAAAACATTAAGTCAGACCTGCTAGACAGAAATGGAGTGGAGGGATAATTTAGAACCACGTTTGCTCCAGCTGTGGACTGAATGTGTATGTCTCCCCTAAATTCGTGTGTTGAAGCCCTGCTACCCCATGTGTTGTACATGGAGGTGGGGCCTCCTTGGGGAGGTAACTAGGTCTAGAAGAGGTCTTGAGGGTAGAGCCTCCATCATGGGATAAGCGCCTGCCTGCCTTGTAAGTAATAGGAGGAAGAGACCAGAGTTCTGTCTCTGTCGTATGAGGATACAGCAGGGAGGAGGCAGGCAGGGAAGAGGGCCTTCCTCACGCACCTGACAGGGCCTGCACCCTGATTTTGGACCCCCAGCCTCCAGAACTGTGAGAAGTGAATGTTGTTAAGCCACCAGGCGATGTGTGTTGTACCCCGAGCTAAGACAGCTCTGCTCCCCACCGCTCCTGGCCCCTGTGTGGACGTTGCAAACAGCATCAGAGGGTGGAGTCTGAAAGCCAGCCGGCGCTCCGTCATGCAGCCCTTCCCTCTGAGTGGGTCGCACTCTGACCTGTAGCACCCGGTGCTCTGCTCAGGGTTTTGAGGGTGAGGGTGTTGGCTTCTTCCTGGGCTTCTTTTCACTCTGCCCAGCAGAACAGAAGCCCGGAGGGGCCCTGAGACTGAACACACCTCGCTCATGGGGGTGGGGCTGGACCTGTCCTTCTGGGGGGAGGCGCCTGCCCAGGAGATACTGGAGGCTGCGAGATAAACAGATGAGCTGCTTTTGTGCAGATGGTTAGAAAAACACGGATTGAGAAATCATGATCTTAGCCTTTAGTAGTGTATTTTTCTGTTTGTGTTGGGTGACTCATTTGTCTATGTTTCTCACTGTTTATGTTCATATCTGGAAGTTTTCTGGAAGGAAATTTATTATCAGTGTAATAATGTGGGTAGTGGATCTGGGTCACCAGGGAGGGGCACTTTCCCAATGCATTTCGTAAGAAATGGTATTAATTTTAGTTCAAACAGTTGGCAGTGACAAAGATAACAAGATTTGGCTAGTGTTTGAAAAGCAAGATGTGTTACATTTAAAATTTTTATTTTAAAAGTCAGGTCTTCTGTAATGGATGGAGTTATTGCTGAATTAATTTGAAATAATTTATTTAAAAGGTACCTCTGTTCCCTAGTGTTACATAATGTGAAACAACCAATTGAGGTAAACCTAAAACCTGAAGCCAGTGACTGAAAAAAATACTGAATGCCCCAGGCTAAGGGTTTCATATTCCTGTAGTTAAAAACCCAGGTCAATGGCCCCACCCCAGCATTTGTCCAGTAGGTCTAAGGTGAGACCAAGTATTTGTAGTTCTGATGAGCGACTGGGCGATCCGGGTGCTGCTGGTCTGCAGGCCTCAAGTGAGAACTGCTTCCATAGATGGAACTCATGGCCTCGGTTCTGTTGGCAGTGACACCATGTGCTGCTGTGGGGACAGCTTGTCCTTAGCACCCACAGTGAGGTCCAGGCAGGGGGGCTCGACCAGCAGCAGTCATCACAGTCAACAGTATATGTAAGTGACCAAAATCCATACAGATGAGACGAGAGCGCTAAGTGTAGGTAACAGTTGGGGCAAAACCCTGCAAGGTAATAGTGCTCATGGGCTCTCAAGAACACAACTAAATGGCTACTCATTTTTTTGTGTGTCTCCTCTAGAGCTTGTGTCAGGACATGATCTTGCTTAGCACAGAGGCCCTTCCCTGACTGAAGTATTTCTTACCATCTGTGTGCCCTCCACCCTGACAATCTCTCAGGGGCATGCGCGCGCACACACACACACACACACACACACACCACACCACACACACACACACACACACTTTCCTAAGGGCACATGGAACTACTTGAAACTCATCATGAACGGATCATGATGTGTCATTTTGGTTTCTGCACCTCCCAAGGAGTGGCCCTCCCTCTCTGACCATCACTTCCTGGTCTTGCTGCAGGACCACTGCGCTATCCCTTACGCCCACAGAAGGGTCAGACGAGGGTCACCACACCCAGGGGTAGCTCTTCCATGACGCCCCCACACTTCGGCCACCTGTGGGCCCTTGTCCTGCCACTTCTGACACTGACCTGTCATGGTGGCCTGCTCAGCTGTCTCCTCGGGGACAGAAGGGGTTTCATTTCATCATTGTTCTCGGGCTGAGGTAAATGAATGATTAACATTATTTGTAACATTTCCTATAAAGCTTTGTGTATGTAAAGTTATGTTTCTCCGTAAACGTCAGGCACCTATGTATCTACACATAGGTAGATAGATGTAAAGTTTAGAAGCAGTTTTGTATAAATGTGAGAATAAAACTGTTGAGAAGAGCTGAGCACCTGGGGCCCCCGCCACTCGGCCTGGAGTTGTGTGGCACACCAGGGCCTGGCCTGTCTCCTCCTGGTTCCCGCATGTTTCCCTTGTCCCTCCTGCCCGCCTGCCCCGCGTCACTTCTCTCCCTCTGCCTCACCTTGCCCACAGTGCTTCAGGCTGCACGGGTCCCCTGCTTCTCTGAGCTGCTCTTCCTTCCCATCGGTGCGCAGGACAGTGATTGGCAGCCCCTGGGACGCTGCTTTCAGAACCTCGGAGGCTCGCCTGAGGTTTGCCACGGTGCTGCGGGAGCAGAAAGGATCTGGCAGGGCAGAGGTGACAGGAGGAGCCTTCCCAGAGGGCATGACCTTGGAGCTGAGCTTTGAAAGAGGAGGAAGGGGGTCAGCCCCACAAAGAAAAGCCGAAAGGGCATCCCAGCTGTTGAGAGAGCGGCTGGCCCTCTCCAGCGCTGGGAGTCTCTCGTGGTCACGGGCCCTGGACACACTCAGGCGGTGACCAGGGGCCTCCTATTGTTGGGGGAGTCCCTGGGACAGCACTGCTGTTTTCTTCACAGACTGTATGTCTGTGTTCCCCAGTGTTCTTCAGTAAACCAGTCTGTTTATCCGCAGCCCCGGTCTGGTTGTGAAGTCTAAGCAACACAGAGGTTTTGCCAGGTTTAGAATAAATAACGATGTGACAGGACGTCACGTGCCCCTGGCTGTACCGTTGTAAGTGCTCTCAAGGGTCTTCATTGGATCCCTGCACCAGAGCCGTGGGAGATGGGTGCTGCTGTGGCCTGTGATCTGTGGCCGAGGAGGCATGGAGGTCAAGGGGCGGGCGGGCTGCTCTGCTGGCTGGGAGGTGGCAGCGCCCATGTCATATGGCACCTTTCCCCCTGCAGTCATTCTCATCACCCTGAGGCACTGGGGTGAGCCAGCCCAGGTCTGAGTTCTAATCTGGCGCCACCAGCAAATTAGCTCTGGGCCCCAGGCCTTTGCCACTGAGGCTGTCACTGCAGCCCTCGCTTACCGTGTGGTGAGGTTGCAGTGTGTGGGTCCTGGTGAAGCACGCTGCCTGGCCCAGTCAGTGCCGGGACCACTGGGGCAGAGGTGGGGGGTGAGCTAAGTCTTCTTCAGCCCTAAGTTTCTGTGTTCCTGTGAATGCTGCTGATCCCCCAGCAGCCGGAGGAAGGAAGGAGAGTGAGCAAGGGGTGTGGCCCGTGATGCAGAGGTCCTGCAGGCTTGCTGGTGGGGAGTCCCCGGGGGCCAGGCCCTGGTCCTGGACGCACTCCTCACACGCGTCTTGGTGGCACTGACCGGGGGCGTTCTGTGGTGGTGGTGCTTTTCCATCCTGAGGTGTCCCATAAAACTGCAGGAACCACACTTTGAGATCCAAGGTTATATGAACGGTAATAGGAGAGATCAAACTATGATGAGGATCAGCATTTCATATTCCGACTGAGGCTGAATATTTATTCCTTTTCATAGTCTTACTGTGTTTAATCAAGAAACAAGAGCCCTGACCTTCAGCCCTCCCAAAACTACACTATCATCCCTCTTGCAGATGCAGAAACAGATGCCATTCATTTCAAAGGATAATTTTATCCAGTGCACTAAATAAAAATTCATATGACTACAGCATTTTCTCGGTTCTTTTCAAGCTAATGTAGGCCTTGACTTTCCTAGCTGGTCCCCCACCACCCCCACCCCAGGGGGCCTTTGTGACCCTGCTCAGCTCTAGCTCTCGGAAGGGGGAAGCAGGGCACTGCCCAGGGCTGTGCACCTCCCTTCCGTCTTTCCGCACCTCTTCCTGCTTCTCTTCCCAGGACTTAACCACCGCTCTGCGCCTTCCCTTCTGCTCCTCTCCCTGCGAGTCCACAACATCTTCATAGAGCCTTGGAAACTCACCCCAAACGGCTAATTTGGGAAGGCACAGGGATAAAGATCTGTGGGGCTTTCACTTCTGTTTTTAGTTTCAGCATTTCTTGGCTGTTTCTTAAAAAAAAAATTGTATGCCCACCTCCCTATCCCCCCTCCACTGCACCCATCTCAGGCAGAGTTAGGCGCTCTGTTCTGTCTTCAGAGCTCCCCCACAACCCCTCCCAGCACTTTTTCGCATTGTTTTGTAATAGCCCTTCACCTGTTGGGTCCACTAAGCTCTGCATTCCCCAGTGGCCGGAACACCTTTCCAGTACTAAAGCATGCATAAAGCAAAGAAGTTTTCCTTTTAAAACCCCAAATCTTCCACGATTCCCACTAACTAATACACAAGTGAACCAGGCAGCCAGTGCTCTCTGTGTCTGGGTGCCACCACTCTTCTCCGTCTCCACGCGCACACCGTCCGGCCATCAGCCAGATGGGGCCGTTGCATGATTACTTGAGAGTCCCCCATGCACCTTGCTTGTGCCTCTCCGTTTACTGGAACGGCCACTGTCACTTCCACTCGCCCGTATTTTACTTGTCCTTCAAGAACCACCACCACTTCCAAAAGCCTGATGCTCGTAGGAGGAAAAATGATAGCGGACATTTATTTGAATGCCTGCTATGTGCCAGGCTGGGTTTTCCCCCACACATTTGCCTCTGTAATGCTCACAGGAATCCTCTGAGATGGGCACGAGGATGCATGTTTGGCAGATGAGGAAACAGGTGAAAGTGATCAAACCACCTGCTCGAGGGTAAGTAGGTAGATTGGCGGGGGGCTGGGGTTTGACCCCAGGCCCGTGCCCTTGACCTGAATCACAGGAGGAGTTCATTTTCTTCTCTGAACTCCTAGAACACTTCCTTTGCATTTCTCAGCAGTCGTATACCCCTCTTACTCGCCCTGTTGAAATTTGAGGGACTGTGTCATGTTCATATCTGGATTTCTGGCAGCAGATGGCAAAAAGTTAAGAATATTTCTTCTTAGTATCTGCGAATCTTATGGTGAAAAGAATATGAAAACAAGTGTATGTATAAAGAATATTTCTTTTTAACAAATGAATATTATTTAAAGATTCTATTTTCCTATAACTGGACCATCGTATAATGCAACTGTAGAAAAATGGCAAGGTTCTTTTTGTTTGTTTGTTTCTCCAAACATCCAAAGAAGTCAGGGTAGGGTGTAGCGCCGTCTTGGGTAAATGAATTCATTTGTTCGTGACTTTTCCATGTGCATCTGCTGTTTGCCAGGCACAGGGGGCTCTCCTGTTCTCCTGGCATCTGCGCTCTGTTTTGTAGAGGTGGAGTTGTTGGCGCTTTGTAAACAGTTTGACAGCATTCATTTGAGGACTGCCTGTTTCTTAAATCTACACATTCATTTCACTTTGTTTTTTTAAGAAATTTTCTTCAGCTGTTGGTAACAGCAGATGCTGCAGATGTTAATCCCTGTTGTTGTTAACTTTTCTCCAGAGATTTAATGTTCAGTTTTAGTTGTTGTTTCCAAGGTCTGTTCATTGTTGAAACAGAGGTTTCAGAATAACTGGGATTTTAAACATTTTCTTGTTCTTTTGGCATGGGAGATGAGGATTTTTTTCTAGAGGGATGGAGAGAGCTATAAAATCCTGTATTGTGGGATAACAGAAAAATATGGAGAATAAGGGTTTTTCTCTTCATTTTCTTCCTGGGGTCGCTCTTTCTTACAGGGCACTTAGTGTGTGAGTTTCTGTCCTGTCTTGAAGGGGAGGAGAGCTGCAGTTCAGACCTGGTATGAGTCTGTGTTCCAGGCTTCGCAGGGCAGGAAGCTGGGCCAGCGTGAGGCTGTGCGCACATTCCTTTGCTCCTGCCCTGTTGCACCAATGATGCGACGTCACGTTCTTCCCCGCGTGTCTTTGTGCAGAGAGATGAGGATGCAGCGTGGAGCGACTGGAGAACAGTGTGACATGTAAAGTATTGACGCAGCAGCGTAGATTGTGTTTATGACTCTGTTGAGAAGGTCTCAGCCGTGATGTAAATGGAAGCAGTTGTCTCATAGGGCCCCTGAGTTATGGCTGGCTTTAGAATTCTCAGAACCCACAGAAGGCTGTTGTCTCTGAAAGTCTGCATAATGTAAGCATTCTGCAGCCCGTCATTACAGGAGATACCAGAGTAGTAAAAGCCCATCCCAGACTGGCCTCTGACTGCAGCCCTTTGCCTTCGTGGCTTTGTAGGCTTTATAAAGACGTCTGTCAGTGCCTGTGGTCCCCACGGTTGGGGCAGTCGGAAGTGAATGTCGTTTCTCACATTTTGCCCCAAGGGACTGGAACCCAAAAGGTGTACATGTTTACAGAGGTTTACAAAGAGGGACGACCAAGCTGGCCTGTGGCTCAGCCGTGCTCTTTTCCCTGAGCCTCTGTGTGCAGCCTCTCGGCAAAGCTGAAAGTTGAGGAAAGAAGCCAGAACCCTGCTGCTGTTCTGGGGAATATTAGGAACATCGCTGTCTTTCTTAGACCACATCCAGGGGCCGGGTAAGGGGCTCAGCAAATACTGGTGTGAATGGCTTAGGAATGATCCAAGTCAAAATAATGCACATATTTATTGTTAGAACAGGGTTCTCAGCCCATAGTCATCCAACATTTTCACGTTGTTATCCTCACCCTGCCATCCCACTCACCCCTCTGTGTACATGAGTACACATCTCACCAGACTGCACCCCAAACACCCACGTGCATGCACGCGTGAGAAAGGACCGATCACAAAGTGATGGCCTTGTCTCAAATCTGGATCTTTCTTCCGTTCTCTTGGGTTGATTTAGCCAGGCCAAATTTAGAATAAACATTTAACTATCCCCCTTTGGTAAATTACTAAATTACTTTGTAACTAGGCTAATCTTAACATGAACAAAAGAAAGTATATTTTAAAAAATTGTTGTTAGTTATAGACTATAGCATCAGTAATTGTTACCACATAAAATACATTTGGGTGAAGGAGATGTATTTTTACCCCTTCCCGAGGTCTAGGAGAGAGCAAGTGATGGGTAGTTTACTCTAATTGGGGTTCTCACTGGGGGTGATCTCGTCCCCCATCTCCCTAGGAGACGTGTAGTGCTGTCTAGGGATTTTTGGTTGTCACTGCTGGGGTGAGTGGATGCTGCTGTCATGGGGTAAGGATGCTGATAAACACTCTCCAATGCACAGAACGGTCCCCCGTGACAAAGAATTATCCAGCCCTAAGTGTCCATAGTCCTGAGGTTAAGAAACCTTGCTTAAAATGTTAGGTTAATTTGCTGAGCTTTGCAGGGGAGATTAGCTTTTATTTAGTTAATTCAGAAGTGAAGTTAACACTAGCACTGATAATCCTTTGTGTTCTGCACTTGGCCTTGGTATCCTGACCAAGGTCGGGAGAAGCTCTGACCACTTGTAAAGGCTTAAATCCAGGTGGCTGACAGCAGCTCTTAAACAGTGTTCCAGTGGTAACAGCAAAGGAAAATAAAGAGCTGACATGATGATAAGTGTGTAGGGGTACCTAAGGGAGTGAGGAGTGAAAATGTAGTGTGGAGCCTGCTGTTGAAAGTGTGCTTTGAGACCAGCAGTGGTGGCATTGCCTGGGAACCTGATAGAAATGCAGCCTCTCAGGCTCTCCTCAGACAGACTGAGTCAAAATCTGCATTTTAGCAAGGTACCCACATTATGTGTGTGCATCTAGAAGTTAGAGAAGCACTGGGTAGACATTTCTTACTTTAGAGGAGAATGCACCTTGGTTCAGATCGTGGCTCTGACCCCTACAAGCCATGTCACCTTGACCATGTTACGAAACTGCACTGCATGCACCATGGTTACTTTAGCTGTAGAAAGGAGATAGTTTCTCATATCTCATGAGGTGGTTGCCACAGACAGACTTATCTGGGCCGAGGACTCATCACATGGTAAAGGCTCAACAGACTGAGCTGTGACTGACAACAAGAAAAAGAAGGCAAGAGTAGAGAACCCTAGGCAGGCAGTTTATGTCTTAAACTTCACGGTCGCACGGTCGTCATCACCAAACAGTGCTTGCACTCTTGGCAGGTCTGATTTCTCCAGATAGGAAAACAGCAGAAACTGGAGCTTCATAAGCATCTGTAGACTGTGGTCCTTGTCAGCAACCCAGTTGCCAGAGAGTAAGTGGACCAGGGGACCAAACAGCCTAAACTCCTGGCCGTGCTCCGTCCACACAGGAGGCGTGCCTGCACTGTTCTCATCATTACTCCAGAATCTGAAAGTTCACGTAGTAGGAATTCTCAGGACACACAGGCATACAGGAAGGATGGGGTTTGAGGAAGGAGACTAGGAGAGATGAGCCTGTCTTATGGGTGAGGTTTAAGAAGGGGGAAAGAATCTCCAGATTAACCCCACCTAATGCTGTTGACTGGCTGGTCCCTGGGTTCCTTCTGTGTCCAAGTGAAAGTGTGCAGAAATTGCTGCTCTAACCACGGCTCCAGCGCTGACCACGTCAGCCTCACAGCCTCACAGGAGGGAATGTAAATACTTCCAACATGAGATAAAGCAGAACTTGAACCATGACTACAGGGCCCAGCAGAATTTCAACAGTCAAGATGGCGAAAGAAAAAAACAAAAAGGAAAGGAAAGGGCTCAAATGGAAGAGTTTAAGCTGCAGAGTTAAGATTAAATAAGCATACGGACTAAAACTCTGTGAAAAGGGATGAATTTAAACTATATCATGTTCAATAATGAGTGATCCTAAGTATACAGGTTGTCAAAAGGGTGATTCGTTTTCTGTTTTGCAAGAGAACATTAAATTTTTTTGTGTGTAAGGGGAGGTAATTAGATTTATTTATTTTTAGAGGAGGTACTGGAGATTAAACCCAGGACCTCGTGCATGCTAAGCACGCACTCTATCACTGAGCTATACCCTCCTGCCAAGAACATTTTTCAGTCTTTGATTTAAATCAGAACAGATTTGCATTATTTTTCTTTAACTTTTTGATTATGAAAATCTTTACTGTCACAAATTTAGAAAATACCAGAAACACAGAAAAGAACAGCAAGTACACCAAACCCAGCACCTGCCTTTCTCTTCCTACAGTTGTTTATCAAGCACCTGCTGGGTGCCAGGGATGGCTTGGTGCTAGGCGAGCCCTCGTTGACAGGGGATTCTAGCCTTCTCAGAGCTTACAGTGTTCAGTGGCTAAATCTTGATGTGTTTCCCTCTGGTGTTTTTTTCCATGCCCTTTAGTGAATACGTGATAGCAAATGATAAGAGCCAACATTCACTGTGTTCCTGCTGTGGGTTGGACCCTGTTTTAGATGGTTCGTATGACATGTGTTAAGTAACTTGATCCCTATAACACCACTGTGAGGGGGGTGCTGTTATTCCCACTTGACAGATTGGGAAACTGAGGCCCAAAGAGGTTAAGAAACTTGCTAAAGATCACGAAATCAATAAATGAGGAGTCTTGATTAAAACCCAGGCAGCCTAGCCCCAGGCCTGTTAATCACTAAACTGTACTGCTTCTCATAACATTTATAGTTGAGACCATACTATATAGACAGTTTTGATTCCTGCTTTTTATATTGACCATTGCACATGAGCATCCTCCCATAATGTGCATAGTCTATTATTTCTTACCTCCAAAAAAGTAGAATTTTAATTTATTCATTTGATAAGCTCATAATGAAATAAGCATAAATAGAAATGAGATGATACGCATTTAAATGCCTACAAAGGTCATAAGGCGTTCTTAATGGCTTATTATCCTGTATTTTTAAGAGGAGTTAAGATAGTTACTTTAGGAAGTTGAACATTTTGTGGCTTGTGCTTAGTTCATAGTGGGAAAGCAACCCCAACTTGAGGGAAGAATAATGAACAGTCAGTGGTGATGACTGTCTGTAAGTTAATCACAACATGTTAGTGTGTGGGAGCTACTGAGTGGGAGAGATTGTGTGTTGTCCTATGGTGGCTGTGAGACTCGAGTTGCCTGTGACGGGCTTTTCATGGCCCATGTGAAGAATGCGTTGTGCCAGGTGAGGTCCACTTGTGTGGGAACTTCCGCTGTCCCCAGAGCTAGTTCCGTAGTGAGCCAGTGGGGTGTTCCCCGAGCATGTCCGAAAGGCATTGGAGAGTTACAGCAACACTGCACCAGCAACGTGGTGTCTGTGGTCAGGAAAGGTGCACAGGCTTGAGCTGTAGAGGTTTTAGCTAGTCAATAGAAATTTGAAAATCGACAGTGTCGGAGACATTCGGGTTGTAGGGGTCTCTGCAGAAAGAGTAGGCTTCAGACTCAGGTGGACATAGGCTGGAATCCCAGCACAGCTGCTTATTGACTTTCTCACCCTGGGCAGCCTGCTTGGCTTCTCTGAGCCCTAGTTGCCTCTTCAGGCTAATACTTGCTTTCTGGAGTTGGCATCAGGATGAAATGATTCTGTCCATATACAACACCTGGCATGGTGCCCAGCACTTGGTAGAGGATCTGATAATGGTCACCATTATTATTGGCTATTAAATAAGTTTTAATCTTCTCCTAAAACACATAGCCTTATAGCACAGTGGTTGAGAATGTACATGAAGCCAGACCACTTGGGTCCCAGCCCTGGCTCTGTGACTTCTTAGCCGTGTGGCTCCGGGCGCGGCGCTGAGACACTGGTGCTGCAGTCTGCTTCTCTTTACAGCTGAATAGCTGCAGTACCTACATCTTAGTGTGGTTGAGTGTTAAATTATTATACGTAAAACCCTCAGACAGTCTGGTACAGAGTGAGCACTGTATGAGCATTTGCTGTTGTTATCAATAATACAGTCATTAACTCAGAAGAACATAAAAACATTGTACCTTAAAAAGCAGCTGTCCTTGACCGTTTCCTCAGTTGCTACTGCTTTTGCTTACTATTTGACGTATAGTTTGTTTGATTTATTTGTTTTGTGGCTCAGGCATAGTTTCTCAATGCATATTAAAACTTGAATTTTAAATTCTGTGCTATCATAATGTGGTATCTGAATGAGCAGAATTTTCTGACTCGGCACTATGTATAAATATAAATTTTAATTGAAAAATGACCATTCAGAAATGCCCTTTTTCCTCTCCAGATTATTCAGAGCTGGGAGAGCTTCCCCCACGATCTCCTCTTGAGCCAGTTTGTGAAGATGGACCCTTTGGCCCCGTCCCAGAAGAAAAGAAAAGGACGTCTCGTGAACTTCGAGAGCTGTGGCAAAAGGCCATTCTGCAACAGATACTGCTTCTCAGGATGGAGAAGGAAAATCAGAAGCTGCAAGGTTGGTTTGCCATTTTTGATATTTGATATTTGATATTGGTATTGATTTAATTTGTTCTGACTTTGAAGTGAAGCACATCAGATTGTTAAGCAGAAAAAAAAAAGATCAGGATACTCTGACATCTGTGTACACATACATATTAAATACCTGTTTGCTTTTTCAAAGTGAATACTTTTTACTTTCTGGAGGTGTGATGATAATCTCACCAACTGTATTAAATTAAATCTTCTGAGAGGCATCCTTCAAATATAAGCTTTCACTCTCTGAAGAAAGTGTTTTATTTTCTTCTCTCGCTCTCCCTACTTTGTTCTCAGCCGTAGTCTGTGCCTGGGTGTTAAGTATGAACTGATCCTACATAAATCATTAAAGTTCATAACCTCATTCTATGTGCATTTGTAGTGAGTTGCAGGTAACCTGAAAAACAGAGGGCTAAACTTCAAGTGAGCTGAGCTCTATCTGTACTGATAGCAAGGTTTTAGTATGGACTCACTTAATCCCTCTGACAACTCTAGAAGGCAGAGAGCGGCCTGAAGAGGAGCCTACAACCCAGAGGAGCCCAGGGTTACATTAGTATCAAACTAAGACAGGAACTTTGAAAGTTTAGATTTTATTCATTTCCTATTTCCATAGTCACTCAACCAAAAATATTATTTTTAAAGTAGCTAAGAAGCTAACTTTTATGTACCCTGGGTGGTATGATGGCCAGAGCATGGGCCTTGGAGTGTCTAGAGCTGCCTGGATATAAAACAAGGACGATTTTGATCGGGAAGTCTGATCACGCTCTTTGAAAGGGAGGCTGTACAGGTTGTGCATGCTGACCCTGCCCAGAGCAGTTTGGTATGAGAGTATGTTTCATTGAACTTCCTCCTTAATTGCAAATCTTCATCTTTTATTGTGATGTTTATATAAAGCTGAAAGTTACTAAGACACCAAATCTGGTAAGGTTCATTGTCCAAATAAGTATGTCATCTTTAACCAGAAACAGGGAGTCAAATGCAAAGCAATGACACTTTTTGATATGAAAGTAGTTGAGCAGTTGGAATAAACTACCGATGGATGGAGTGGGCTCTCCAGGGCCCGGTATCGAAGCTGAGAGATGGGTCACCTGTGAGGCTGCTATGGGAGGGGAGGCTGCAGTGAGGGGGTAGATCTGTGAACCCTCTGTTTTCTCCTGACTCTATTTTTCTACCATGTTCTTGTATGTTCTTGAAGGTAGAATTAAAGCAGGTGTCTAGAAGAGATTTGATAGCGATGGCATCTCTAAGTGTTCCATCAGCTAAACTTTGGAGCTTTGGAGCACAGCACTTTTAATCGTGTGTATGTTGGTTGAGACTTTTGCTGAAAAGCAAAAAGGCAGTTATGTTCATCACGTAGGTCATAAACCTTAATGCTCATCCTGGCCAATCTTCTTGCAGATGACAGCCACGGAAAATCAGGATGTGGCTGTAAAATGGGAAGGATGCTGCTTGGCTTCTTGGGAGTTTGGGGCAGGATCGTGACTAATTTATAAGATGAGGTCAGGTTTCCGCAGAAGCAGAGCTTGTGGCTTATGCTTAGCCATGTAGCCTACCTACTGTCCTAAAAAACTCACAGTCTAGATTTGAGACGTGGTGTGGCATGGATATCGGGACTAACAGCGTTACTGCTGTGTCTAAACAGAATTTAGGAGTTTTAGGTGGGAGTGAGGGTGTCAGTTTTAATCCTTCTTAGAAGAGTCAGTTTACATTTTTCCTTTATTGATTTGTCTCCCCCAGTTTGGTAATTTAGATACAGTTCTTCTTAATGCAGCTATGAACTGAATAAGGTTGGTAGGAAGTAACAGCTATCCTCATATATTTGAGGAGATGCCATGTGAAGAGGTCAGATTGATTCGATTCTGTTCAGCCCCAGGCAGCAGGAGCATGACTAAGGGTCGAAGCTGCCTAAAGGAGGTTTGGCTCTAAATAAGAAGGAACCATCTTCCGAGAGCCTCTCCTAATTTAGACGAAGTTTTGTTGTGATCCAGCCATGCTGGGAGCTGGGAGTTTTAACACATAGTTCCTGCCCTCGAGCCATTTATGGTTGGTAGGGTAGCTGTGGTGATGGGTCGAACCAGACAGGTGTGGGCGTATGTTAGCAGTGCAGCCAACAGAGTTCACTGGGGCAGTAGGAATCAGGGATACCTCCTAGCTGTTTAGCTTTTTCCAACATAGGGAAATGGGGTGGGGCAGGGTCAGTGTCTTTGACGAGGACCTGTTACGCTGGCTGTAGCTCCTCAACATCGCAGCGGGTGATGTGCAGGCAGCCGGGTTATGAAATAGGAGACCTATGGGTGTAGCATTCACTAACATGTTCTGAAATTGTCTGTTCCAGCCTCTGAAAATGATTTGCTGAACAAGCGCCTGAAGCTTGATTATGAAGAAATCACTCCTTGTCTTAAAGAAGTAACTACAGTATGGGAAAAGATGCTTGCCACTCCAGGAAGATCGAAAATCAAGTTTGACATGGAAAAAATGCACTCGGCTGTTGGGCAAGGTAAGCTTACCTGGGGACCAGTCCAGCTGGCAGCCTCGCCCTCACTGATGACTGGGGAGGTGTGTGGAATAAAAACATTTATTTCGGTGGCCATCTCTCTTCTGTTTGTCATGTCTTTACCGAATCTGTTTCCAGATGTCTTAGTTAATTAACTTGAGTTTTATCACCTTTCATGATTCCTCTTAATTAAATTAATTAAAATGCCCAGAAGACCAAGAAATAGGAAGAAGACAAAGGAAAGCCTAAGGGCTTAGATGCTACAAACTGGGTAATGATGTGATGATACCCTGAGTTAAATAGTACACTGACCATGGATTGTGTGGCTTCCCTCTGGGGACTCTCAGGGGACAACGGAGTGCCTGGTGCAGACTTCAGGCAGGTAGTCTCAGGTTTGAATTCCAGCTCTACCAGCTGCTTTGTGATGTGATCTTAGGCAAATGGCTTAACCTCTCTGAGCCTCACTCGCCACATGTGTGAGATGTGGGTGATGACAGTGGTGGTTGTGAGAAGCACACCACATGCGTCCGCTGTGCTGGAAGGCCTTGGAGAGTGGATGGTACATGCTCTTTGTTTTAGTGTGACCTGCTGACTGTGTGTAGGTCCGGACAGTTACTGATCCAGAATAAGTGTGGGACTTGGGACTATGCATCTGGAAACTTCCCTGGCAGTTTGGCAGAGTGGTCCTAATAAAAGAAATGTGGACTTCCGTATTTTGTCAGTCTTTTTTCCTCCCATTTCGTTTTTCTAATTCATTTTTACTGTATTTTATCAAAGTATCGACCTGTAGTGGATTGGAACATTTAAAAAGAACAGAAAAACTTGTCCTTCAATACAGATAGTTTGACAGCATTTTAGAACTTTGTTCTTCAGTGATTGTTAGTGTTCAAGCAAAACAGAACCATTTCTTTGGAAGCTTTCTGAGTCTGATTGAGTTCTAGTGCCACTGAGTTCTGATCAGTCTAGGCAGGAATAACCAGGTGATTAGAATAAAGGTTACAAATGGGTAAAAATTTTAGGTTCTCTTCTGACTTTATCAGCAGTCCAGTGGACGAAGTTACACAAGCATTATTTATCTCCAAGAGTAAATACAGCAAAGCAGATTTCCTAGCATGGTCTGTTAGGCATTATTTAACCTTTATCTGAGTTTGGAGAGCATCAGTGTTAGTAATAATACATGTAGCTACAACTAGTTATGACTTTCCCCTTGCTATGGGTAATAAAACTTGGACCTAGAGATGTTGAGTAATGGGCCCAGGGCCACGGAGCTGGTTGCATCCCAGTCTGCTAGAGTTCTGGCCACCATCGAGCCCTGCCCACAGTTGAGTAGTGCCTCGGTTGTACTATTCTCAGAGACTAGAAACGTGGTGAGTGGTGAGGCCTCAGGTTCTGAATTGGCCAACACCTCCCAGTGTGGCCTCACTTTTCTGGGCTCTGGCCTAGTGGCTGGTAGAATGAGAGGCATGGACCTCTCAGAGGATCTCACTGCTCTCTTCCAGTTCTCACATTCTTTGTGCCATAGTGGTTGCTGGAGGCTTACCATTGCACCATGTGGCCCCAGATTGCTGTTTTGAAAAAGGAGAAAGCAGAGAATAGAATGAGTCCTTAGTCTTTTCACTGCTGACTAGATGATGGTCTTCAGTGGCTCTGCTTCTGCACAGGGTAAATTGCATGGTTCTGTGACAGCTGTCCCAAATGTTTGAGCTTCTTAGAAGCCTGGCACCTGGATATATATTGGTCTTCATCAGGCATTTTATAAGAGGGACTAACTAGAAGTATTCTGAGTATCTGGAATCTGGGTAGTGAAGCTGGGGATGGATGACTGGACAGTTTATACACAGAGGTGAGCTGAGGGTACCCTGGAATTTCCTTGAGTATCCCCTGACATCACCACATCACTTTCTGTGGCAGAAACTTTGTATCTGTAACTGTAAAAGGAGATTTGTCAATCATTCAGCTGGTTTCAACATGTAAGATTGAACGACTCCAAACAAATGACCACAGTCCATCTCATAGCTCAGAATTAAAACGAGATCAAATCAGAATCTCACCTTTGACCTTCCAGTTAGAGGCCAAGTCACTTCTGAGCCCTTAAAAGAGAAGACAGACCCTGTGTGGATAAGAAGGCT